CGTAACAAGTGCATTACCAGCCTTTTAAGGATAAGGAATTTGAGCATTTAGGGATTTTGGAGATTGGACAAGGAGGGGGGGATCGGTAACCTCACACACACGACAAAACACAGCGCAAGCGTTATGACACGTCGGTTTTCTGTGAAGCTGTGGTATATCACTCCAGTCGAACCAGCCCATTCGTGCCGAAGCATGGCTCTCCCACTCTTGACATGTATTTTTGACGAGGACCTGGAGTATGCCGCTTATGAATATGAGCCTCTAGCATGGCTTGAAACTAGTCGAGTTTCTCGTCGAACAGTTATGTGAGTAATACGAACACATAAGAATTCATTAAGTATGTCTCACGAAAGTTCTCAGTAGTAGTACGGAGTCTGGAAATGTGCCCGGTATATGGCAATAGGCTTAACCCTATTATATGGGACTCATAACATAAATAGTAAAAAGTAGTTGTTACATTGTACAGTGGCATTAAGGGGATTTCGGGGATAAAAAGCGAGATCTTATATTATATCTCACGACAGTTTAAATGTGAAACATGTTATGCATCTGCTGTTCACACTACAAATTATAAACCTAAAATTACCATACTACTGATACTATCTACAACTATCCATGTGGGTATAACATATACCTGGTGTTAACAAGATTATCCACTCGCTGAGCCGACCTGACAACTCTTGGCGCGTGTGAACGCATCGCATCTCATTACAGGTGTATATAGATAGATCGGACTATGTATTAATGTATGTATCATAACATAACATCACGCCTTTTATCCCCGAAGAGGTAGGCAGAGGTGCACATTATGTAACTCCCACTTTTCACTATTTATGTTATGAGCCCCATGTAATAGGGGGTGAGCCTATTGCCATATACCGGGCACAATTCCAGACTTCGTGCTAGTATTGATAGTTTTTAAAAACCCAGTAATACTTTGCCCGACCCGGGAATTGAACCCGAGACCCCTTGTCCGGCAATCGCACTTGCAACCACTCGGCCAACGAGGCAGTCATGTTTGTATCACTTGTTTAAACTGTCAAACACCAAGCGGTCACCGGTGACCGCAACCTATTGTTCTATAATTGTGTCTACAAAACCGGTACTCGACGAGTTAATTTATCACTACCTATTATATAAAACTAAATCGCTTTCCGCTGTCTATCCCTACGTATTCTACGTACCTAGTTGAAATACATCAACAAAATCATCAGCCCATAAGTGCCCACTGTTGACCAAAGGCTCTTCTCACATACAGAAGGTTTGAGCTTTAATCACTACGCTAGCTCAATGCGGGTTGGCGATTGTTAGCTCAAAGTCAAATATTGTCTTTAATTCTTTTTATAACTATGTTGCTTGAAAAATAGTGATTAAAATTGCTTGCTATCATCTGTTCAATCTAACTCGTATCGCTTGACATGTCTCAAAGGAATTTGAAACCTAAAATAAAGATAAAAGAATATATTTTACAATGATTAATGTCTAGTTTTTATAATTAAAATTGATTGAGCAGTGAAATAGTATCGTTTGCAATTTCCATTTTGTTTGACAAGAAAAAATAAATTGGAAAAATTGCTTTATTTTGGTAAGCGATTTCTCAGAACGCTTAAGTAATTTATGATTTATTAAGAAAATAATAATTTTCATTAAAATCATATTAACTCGTCGAGTACCGGTTTTGTAGACACAATTATAGAACAATAGGTTGCGGTCACCGGTGACCTTGGTGTTTGACAGTTTAATTTGTTAATATAATATTGGATATACATACTTTCACCTCTTTTATCCCTGAAAGGATAGACAGAGGTGCAAATTACGGCACTTGATCCTAGTGTATAGTGTAACACCCACTTTTCACTATTTATGTTACGAGTTCAATGTACGAGTCCCTAGCATGCTTTGAAACTAGTCGAGTTTCTCGTGCAATAATTCATGTGCAGCATTCTACTTCATACTACAGATAGAAGAAAGTGCGCGTAAATTACAGCAGAGGGCGCGCTGAGCCCGTAACGCAGACTCGAGTCGCCTGTAGCAGCGCGACAGTCGCCGCGTTGCGTCGCGGGTCACGCAATGCCGCTCATGAATTTGCCTTTAGCATGACTTGATACTAGTCGAGTTTATCGTCAAATAATTACGTGAATACGCCGAAAAACGGTTATAATAATGAATTATCACTATTAATTACTAATGAAGATAATTAATTAATAATTATCATAATTAATTCGGTGTACAGCTAATGATAGTTTGCATTATTAGCCCATTCAAGTAAATATTGAATTTTGCCCTAAGCGGGTTCTAAATACGGGTTTAGCATTCAATACATGTTTAACTTACCTGAATTATATTCATATATTTACTACGCTTGATTTGAATATAAAAATAAAATTATGGGAACGTTTTTGTTACTATATCTTCCTACGGGTGTCGCAAGAGACGACCAAGAGAAGTCAAAGTCAAAGTCATAGCCAAAGGCGAAGCATTTATTTCAGTTAATCCTTAAGGCTTTTTTTAAGGGGGGAAAATCATCGAATGACTTGTCCCGCTTGGGTGAGGCGGGAGGGAATGTCAGACTCTTACTGACTAAAAATCACCCCGTTCCTACTCCTGCCCTTTGAGGCGGAGACCCGGTAACCCGATCCCATCCGTGGTGGTCTGATGGCTCTTTGAGGCGCGCGTGGAACACGACGTGCTGTATGCTCCTAAGGACTCACGAAGCTATTTTCTCACGTACCCGCTGCTGCATAGGCTGATCGATCGCGGCAGCGGTACGGCAGCCGCCGCGGTCCCGCAGCCGCGACGCGGTTTGCGGTCGGTTGGCGGGCGATCATAATGGGAGGGCCGGTCTAGAACTCAACTGATTGTTTAACAACGTCTTCCAATAATCTACCGACAAGTTTGCGAACGATAATCGCAACAAAGTGTGGAAGAGCCATGCTTCGGCACGAATGGGCCGCTCGAGCGGAGTGATACCACGGCCTCACAGAAAACCGACGTGAAGCAACGCTTGCGTTGTGTTTCGTCTTGTGATTGAGGTTACCGATTGCCTTGATTAGCCGATTGCTTACCATCAGGTGATTCGTCTCCTTGTTTACCGGCTTATACCATAAAAAAAAACCGAGGCGGCTGCGGGACCGCAGAAATCTGCAGTTTCATGAGTTATAAAAATAAATCTTAATTCCACCACCGCGAGTGCGGGTGAAAATCACGTCGTGATTGCGTAACGTAATTAGGGACTTTTGAAACGGTTAACTGAATTGTTATTGAAGCTAGGTGCTCATTCCAAAGTGGAGTATTACACATATCTTGACGATAACCAACCAACTGACCTCTTTTATAAACCTATACCTTTTTACGGGGACGGGTAATCCCCAATCCGATTGGAAAGCAAACCTGTCGCAGATCTACTTTTTAATCGACCTCAAAATAAATAAGGAGGATCTTAGTTTGGCCTGTATGTATGTGTGTACCGCATTGTCTCGCGATTGGCTGAACCGAATTTGAAGCGATTTCAGTAAAGTGTTTGGTATACTTAGAAGAATATTTTAGTATTTAATATACTAAAACATTTTGTAACCTAGTTAAAAAAGAGAAGATAGAAGTCGGTTTTTTTAACGTAGCTTATACAATTGCGCAAAACTGTAAATGAAATCTAAGCAAAAAATAAAATTATGATTTCTCACATTGATTCATCTCACACTGTTTCAACCACCTCGCTACTTCACACAAACACCATACCAGAAAAACTATTTTATAGAACAGTCTAGGAAAATTTTGGAATGTAAAAAGGGACAAAATTTACGAGGTTTAAACTAAGCTGGGTTCGCTGGTTAAATATAGCCAACTCATTAGTTCTAGCTGGTAATAAGCCGGCTGCGGTCTAGATAAGTGTGATAAAGTTTTCCTAGAATATAAATTTTAATTTCCTTCAACTCGGTACCAGGTTTTTCTTGATCAATCGTCTTCGTTAATTGGATTTAAGAATTTTGGGCGACTAGTTTTTGTAATTGCCTTAGCAGTGGGTTTTAGAGAGATTTTAGTTCTGTTTTTGACGCCTAAGATTGATGGTTCTTTAATATTATGAAGATGTCTTGGAAGACTAAGATTTTTATAGCTGTCTGTCGTCTGGAAGTCAGACAATTTATCAATATAATTTGACTGAAACGAATTTTGTTGATTAAACTGAAATAATAAGATTTTGTGAATTTCGTTACATTAAATGTCAAAGTAAAATTGTTGTTTTACCAATATTAACGATCGAATTTAGTAACTGACAAAATGTTTGATGTTTTGTTTCACCCCCTCACTTTCGCAATCCCTGTTTTTCTAACAATCCTCAAATTCCTAATCCGCAAAATGCCGATAATGCACTTGTAACGCCTCTGGTGTTCCAGATGTCCGTAGGCAACGCCGATTACTTGTCTTCAGGTGATCCATCTGCTCATTTATGGGCTTATCCCATAAGAAAATATTGTATGGAATTTCTATCGAAAATAGAGATCGATCTGGAGATTTCTGAAGGATGTTAAATTCGACCTCTAGCCTATTAAAGATTTTCAACCATACCCCCATGTAAAAAAGCACCGTATGGCTCGTACACAAAACTGCGATGCGATGTTGCATCGCAAAAATGTGCGAGCTCCCTCAACGCATCGCAAGAACTTGCGAATTGATTCGCATCGCTCATCAAAATCTTATCTTCCCAAAATCTTCATTGTTTCTTTTTCATGCTTCTCCTAAGCAATAACAGAATAACAGAATAAAGTGCACACTTATTTTTATGATCCATCAAACGACCTACTTTTCAATTTAAAATACGTTTAGTACGGTTGACTGTCGTCGAAGTAATGGTCACCCTGGGAGTCGCCTTGTCACACGAAATCGCATCGCAGCAATTTGCATCGTAATTTTCTGCGTTGCGAATTCGCATCGCATCGCAGTTTTGTGTACGAGGCCTTACATCTACATGAAAAAGTAAAAAAAATATTCAATAATCTACTTACAATTCCATCTCCAATATTCCTGATGACACACGGCAGTAAAGCAGTGGACCCTGTCTGTGACGTCACCACTGTATTGTTCTCAGTTCCAAAGTGCTTTTCAGGAGTGTTGCTGTATAGGTCATCAAGTGGAGGGAAGGTGACTGTCAGCTCGTTCTGATCCGGTTTCACTGATGATGAAGAGGAGGTTGGTATTGCTGATGATGGCCCTGTGAACAATGATTTGTAGGTTAGAATAGATATTTGATATTTATCAGCAGTTTGCTTATAGAATCTAACCAACCGGGGTTGCTACAAGTTCTTAACATCTTTGCAAAAAAGTCTGCCACTTTCGTTGCGGAGGACGAAGGCACACATACAAGTAGTAATGCTGCAATAAAGCAATTTGATCGCGTTGTTACATACGCGTACAAAAAATCAAATAAACAATAACAAACATTGATTAAATGCACACACTCATATCGAGACCTCTAAGAGCCTAGTCAGAGTTTCAACCAGTGCGCTTAACCCTCCGACTGGTTGGTTTATCGGAACAGACTTTTCAGAGCATCGAACGCGGCAACGATTGATTAGATTCTCGAAGGTAGTTTGTCGCGCGTCCAATACAACCTCTGTCATGCAATGATCAAAATAAGTTTAGTGCCTTTGAACTAAATAATTAATTTCATCTTTAATAAAAAGTTTTAATATACTGCAGATTGTCTTAGTGGGTTCTCAGGGCGTGAAATAAAGTTCGACACACGATTAAACTGTAAACTGTATAATATTGGAGTAAACGTTAAACTAAATATAAAAAAGATTGCATAATAATTAAATACATAACTCAAATTATTCGCGGCACAGATACGGAGCGCGTGCGTCACGGCTCCGTCGCGGGACTAGTTGTTCTCTCGCGTCCTCGCAAGCGTCGAGCAGTCAGTGACGAGGAAGCGGGGGAAGAGGAATAGTAAAGTGGCGTGTTGTCACTATAGTTGCGTGCGTGCGTCAGACACAAACGAAAATCGGTTTACCGCGTTCCATCCTCCCTTCTGACCTAGACATAGCTCCCTTGCGTCTTGGTCATTCTAAAAATCGCTTGGGTCTTCGTGTCAGACTTTAATCGACACCGGGTGTAATTGGTCGAGGGTTCTTCCTTCGCGGTGCGGTCGGCTACATCCAACAGAGAGGTGTTTGACCCTCTGGTTAGCCGTCCGCGTCGGCGCGGTACCCTCGTCATCCATCATTACAAGCTCAGTAGCTTCTGGCTTTTTCGGCGATATGCTGTTAGTAGTAGGTAAAGCGGGGCTGGCGGCAAACGGATACCAACTCGACTCGTCGTTAAAACGCCAGCTGCACTGTGGTAAATCCAACAGGATATTCGCTTTCGTGATAAAATTCCTACCTAACAGCGTCCTCGTTCGTGCGTTCGGTAGCACCATGAACGTATTGGGTATCACGCGTTTTCCTAATGTGACGTCGAGGTCACACTCAAGCGCGGTAACGTTTCTGCTGAGACCCGTCAGCAAGACCTACGGTACATAAGACCGTCCTAAACATCACGCCAGTATTGATGAGCAAAGCGTGCAGCGTAGGGCTCTCGATAAAATGTGTGACCCCGTGTTCAGCATGGCCACAGCCTTACGGTCAACGACCTCAATATCTATCAGCGGTTGCGAATCGTCATTACTCGCGTACTCTACAATGTAAGTACTATAAAAATCTGCTTTACTTGAAAGCCTGGATGAGGCGGGAGGGAGTGTCAGACTCTTACTGACAAAAAACCACCCCGTTCCTTCTCCTGCACGTCGAGCCCGAGCCCCGGTAACCCGTTAGGTTCTCCGCGACAGACGCGGAGGCCTGACCTAACACGGCCGTATCATGTAAACTTACTAAAGAACTCGCGCTACATGACGATTTCGTATTTACGGGTTCGGCGACGGTATTCAAAAGGGTAGTACTCGGGTTTGTGTCAGAACGGTCACGCGCGTCGCACGAGTCAATAGAACTCGTATTATTATTAAAAATGGGGGAACTTACCTCCGTCAGTGACTACTCCACTAACCTGACTTCGGTGATGAGTTGCTCCACCCCATCGACGGAATCACGACACACGCGTTTTCTAATCCTAACAACCCGTATACAATGTCCAACTTCCCTACCTACCTTACCTACCTCCGGTACTACGTACCTACGGTAATTTTGATAACAAAGCGCGCACTTTACAAATAAATACGTCGGCCCGTTCACTATTTCGTTCGGTAGCAAATATATCTACGAGTACGAGTACCTATTTTATATCCGGGTCGCGGCACTCCAAACATCCCTCGAAGTCGTTGTAGGACGTCGGTCCACGACGTGACCGACGACTTTACTCCTTGCCACCAGACGGCGACCTCGCCCACCAGCAACATCGGCAGGCCGCGCAACGTGCGCTCGTCGCTGACGTTGGTGCAGTCACAGTAGACTTCGATGGCCTCGATAAATGCTTCGAGCTCATCCGCGTTCCTCGATGATCCGTTAAATCGCGCCGTGCATTTCGCGAAGTTTACTGCGTGCTGCGCATGCGTGTGTGCGTCGGCGACTTCGGCGCGCGGCAGTGACGTAATCAACGTTTTTGTTTCACGCCAAAATATTTTCAATCCGAACTCTGTTTGCTTCCACTTGACTCCTAGTGATGTTGGAGACAAGGGTATTTAGCATATCCTCCGACATTGTAATATTCGGGGACGAAATCACGGTTCTGTTCATCTCGACATCTGTGTCGGTATCCGATCCCTCATCTCTTCCAGTTCTTCTCTTCGGCGGCATGATAACAGGCAATTCCAACTGTTACTCGCTCGAAGAGCACGAGTGATGTTTTTGAGAATGGTAGCTTCAACGAGTCGGTAGGTACATACCTACCTACAGACGCAAACGGCGCGGCGGCACGCGGAAAATGGACTCGCCCAAGTGTTTTCACTTTCGTATTTGCACTGGTTTTACAATAGTTTTCGTGTGATTGCACTATCTGAGAGAGTTCACAATATGTATTTGCACGATAGGAACACTAGAACTTGTTGTAACTATGAGTTTGTATGCACAGTTCGTTCGTGGCCGCAAGTTGGGCGTTACCTACTTGAGATGTCTATTGGGTTCTCAGGGCGTGAAATAAAGTTCGACACACGATTGAACTGTAAACCGTACCTATATTAACACGTTAAACGCCATGGCAGTCACTGGTGACCGACATTAGCGGAGGATTTGCCTTCAACAGTTTTTTATTGGCAGCCAATGCCTTAATGGAGTAAACGTTAAACTAAATATAAAAAAGATTGCATAATAATACATAACTCAAATTATTCGCGGCACACATACAGAGCGCGTGCGTCACGGCTCCGACGCGGGCGCGGGACTCGTTGTTCTCTCCGTCTCTCGCTCGCGTCCTCGCAAGCGTCGAGCAGGGAGCAGGGGCGTGTTGTCACTAGAGTTGCGCGCGTGCGTCCGACACAAACCAAAATCGGTTTACCGCGTTACAAAGTGTATTTAAATATTGATAATTATTGTATTTATTAATTTTTATAGTATGTACGTATGCTTGTATATTATTAGTATTTTATTAAGTATATTTCGGTTTTTAGTTTTCTTTCAGTAATTTTATTTTGTATTCTTTGCATGTAACCTTTACACTGTGTCTCATGTTTATATTCCTTTTCCTGTCACAGGTCTGCAGAAAGAGATCCCTTATATACTATATGGGATATGCAGTAGGTACCTATACACCTCATGCTTTTAATGTGTTGTCCTCTGTAATATTGTCTGCTGTATAGTGTACATGAAATGAATAAATAAAAGGGAACGTGAAATAGTATCATTATCTCCTGTGTCATGGTTGCGTTTACTTCACATAGGTCAATTGTTTAGTACGAACATCGAACTTATGTCCCTCTAGCTTCTGCTATCGACTTCCCCTGCGTTCCCGTGTCATAAAACATGGCCTATAAAATATGTATAGGCCAAACCATAAACTAAACCTGTTCCAAATTACATCTCGATCTATTCAGACGTTTGACGTAAACGAGTAATAAAGAATCAAACATACCAACTTTCGGATTTGTAATATTATTAGTGGTTTTTTTTTCTTTCTTTTTTTCTTTTTTTGAAAAAACGTTGCCCCACTCTAGGATTTTTTCCTGTGTCGTGGGTGCGTTTACAAACATACAAGTTCACATACACAATATGACACCCAGACCCGAAACAACATTTTGTGGATCACACAAAGTGTTGTTCCGTGCGGGAATCGAACCCGCGACACGTTGCACGGCAGCCGGTTGCCCAGCCACCGCACCAACCGTGCAGTTTGCATAACACCTGGTTGTCTAATCACTACGGCAACCATTCACTCACTCTCTCTCATCTCCGGCAACAGTAAGCGGACCTGCGGACCACCACGGATAGGGCCCAATAGGGCTGATACCGATACGGAGCCGCGGAGAACTTAACGGGTTACCGGGGCCCCGGCTCGATGTGCAGGAGTAGGAACGGGTCGGTTTTTAGTCAGTAAGAGTCTGACACCCCCTCCTCACCCAAGCGGGAGAAGTCATTCGAAGATATTCACCCTTAAAAAAAAACGTTCACTGACAGTCGACCGCTTCGAGAATTGTAATTTGTAAACGTGACCTACAGTTCGATAGTCTGTTGTACTTTTTACCAACAGCCCATCATTAAATCCATTGTAGCCTTTAATAACATTGAACCTTTTTATTATTACATAATTAATTCCGTAGATACAAGAACATTGGAATTAAGGAAGACTATAATTAAATTTTGAGCAGCTAAGTGTTTGGGAAACGCTTAAAGCCGGCCAGGTGGAGTTAATGGAAATGTATTGTATTTAGACTGTTTTGTTGTCGTTTTATTGCAGTCTGAGCATGGAGTTTTGATTTCGATTCCTGAGGTAGTTTCATAGATAATTCAGTTAAAAATTGTAAATTATCGTTGGACGAGTGGTCGTAAGTGCGACTGCCGTGCAAAGGGTCTCGGGTTCGATTCCCGGTCGGGCAAAGTATTACTGGGTTTTTAAAAAAAATCTCAGTGGTGGCACGGAGTCTGGAATTGTGCCCGGTATATGGCAATAGGCTCACCTCCTATTACATGGGATTTATAACATAAAATAGTGAAAAGTGGGTGTTACATGGTACAGTGGCATTAAATGCCGTAATGTGCACCTACCGCTTTAGGAATAAAAATTGTT